TATAATAGGTCATAAAAACAAACAGACCAATGAAACAGAATTGAGAGCCCAAAATATGATCAACTAATATTTGACAAGGTATTCAAGAATACTAAATAGAGAAAGACAGTCTCTTCAATAAATGATGCTGGGATAATTGGCTATTCACATGTAAAATAATAAAACTGGCCCCATATCTTACATCACTTGCAAAAATTAACTCAAAAGCAATTAAAGATTTAAATATATAAAACTATGAAATTCCTAGAGGAAAAGACAGGAATGAAGCTCTTGACATGCACCCTGGTAATTAATTTTTGGATATGACTCCTACAGTACAAGTAAAATAAAAAATAAACAAGTGGGACTACATCAGACTAAAAAGTTTCTGCACAGCAAAATAAATCATCAACAAAGTGAAAAGACAACCTACAGAATAGGAAAAATATTTGCAAACCATATATCCAATAAGGGATTAATATCCAAAATATATAAAGAACTCATACAACTTAATAGCAAAAAACCAAATAGCCCAATTTAAAAAAGGGCAAAGGGCCTGAATACACATTTTTCCAAAGAAAATATTCCTAAGGCCAACAGATATATAAAATGATGCTCAACATCACTAGTCATTAGGGAAATGAAAATTAAAACTATAATGAGGTATTATCTCACACTTATCAGAAGGGCCATCAAAAAAGATAAGATATAACAAATTCTGGCATGGCTGTGAAGAAAATGGAACCCTTGTGCCCTGTCGGTGGGACTGTAAAATGGCACAGCCACTACGGGAAACAGTATGGATGTCCTCAAAAAATTAAAAATAGAACTACTGTATGATCCAGTAATTCCATTTCTGAGAATACAAACCTCAAATAATGTGGAGTTTAGGGGCACCAACCCCCCAACCCATGCACTTGAAAATCTGCATATAACTTCTGACTCCCCACAAACTTCACTACTAACAGCCTACTGTTGACTGGAAGCCTTACCAATTACACTTATAATAAAGTAAGCTAGAAAAAAGAAAATGTCAAGAAAATCATAAGCCTAGGTGGCTTAAGCGTCTGCCTTCGGCTCAGGTCATGATCCCAGGGTCCTGGGATTGAGTCCCGCATTGGGCTCCTTGCTCAGCAGGGGGACTGCTTCTCCCTCTGCCTGCCTCTGTCTCTCTCTCTCTGATAAATAAATAAAATCTTAAAAAAAAAAAAAAAATTTAAAGAAAATCATAAGGAAAATACATTTATAGTACTGTATTTATTGAAAAAAATCTGCATATAAGGGGACCCACACAATTCAAACCCATGTTGTTCAAAGGTCAATGTATAGCCAAAGGAAACAAAAACATTAACTCCAAAAGATATCTGCACCCCCATGTTCATAGCAATATTATTTATAATAGCCAAGACATGGAAACAACCCAAGTGTCTATCAATGAATGAAATGGAAAAGAAGTTGTGGTATATACATAGAATGGAGTACTATTCACAGCCATAAAAGAAAGGATATCCTACCATTTGTGACAACATGGATGGACCTTGAAGACATTATGCTAAAGTGAAATAAGTCAAAGACAAATACTGTATAATCTCACTCATACGTGGAACCAAACCAAACCAATACCAAATCAAACCCAAACTCACAGAAAAAGAGATTAGACTGTGGTTACCAGAAGGGAGGATGGGGGAGGGCGGGGCTTGGAGGAAGGATTACAGTCACAAGCTTCCAGTTATAAGATAAATAAGTACTAAGGATGTAATGTACAACATGATGACTACGCTAACACTACTATATAAAAATAGGAAAGCTGGTAAAAGTTAATCCTGAGTTCTCATCAGGAGGAATTTTTTTCCTTTTGCTTTTCTTTTTATTGCATCTACATGAGAATATGGATGTGAGCTGCACCTATCGTGGTAATCACCTCACAATATATATATAAATCAAACCATCGTGTTGTACACCTGAAACTTAATACAGTGATGTATGTCAATAATTTTTCAATAAAACTGAAAAAAAAGTATATAATGTTCAAAAATCATGAAGATTTAGCATTGCCTGGTCCAGGATGGAAGCAAAAAGTAAAACTGGAGAGATCAGTTGCAGTAAGATTGTAAAATGTCCAACAGGCCAAACTAAGGACTTGGGTTTTTATCCTTAGGTAAAAGGAAACTGAGGAATAAAGAAAAAAAATGTATAATGTATTTAACGTCCTTTAAAGGCAGAGGAATAATTTTTTTTTAATCTTCCTGGCAAAATAGAATAGGCTGAGCTCAAGTGTAATCAGAAACAATAGATTTTCTAACAACTATATACTAAAAACTATTTGTTAGCTAATTCTATTTCATTACTTTGGTTGAAAGAGCAAAATTACTTGTCAGATCTCAAAAACATTCCTCCTCCTGTAGAGCCTCCACACAGCTAGGAACCCGTGGTCTGTGTGACTGCACACAGCTGTGTGACACCGCAGCCTTGTCTCCTGCCCCTTCTTTCCCTTGGCCATCCTTCAGTTATAATGCGTCCTGGAGAAACCACCTGCACTCCCATTAGGTCCTCCTCTCCTCTATGCACAGCCAGTTCAACTGCATCCCCATTCCCAAACTGCAAATCCCTGCCTGATCCTATAGTATAACTCTGTCAGTGAACAAAACTATAAAGCTTAATGCCACAATAATTTATTTTTGACATCGGCTGGCTTTGGGTGCCATAGGGTAATTCTTCTTGACAAATGTTTGTTGATAGGCGTATTCTTCTTCCACTACTTCAAACTTTCACTATCCTTCTTAAAATTTGCAATCCAGTTTCTACTCACTAAATGATCTAGCTCAAAGAGATGCAAAGCTTATTAGTAAGGAACACATCAAGTTCCCTACCCTCTTTATTCACATCTGCATCCATCCTACATCTCTCCGAACTCCTCTCAGATGAGGAGTAACCTACACGAGGTTAGTATCTTCTAAGTAGATTCCATCCCTCTCATCTCCTCAGTGGGAGCTATCACCAGTTTCTCTATCTTCTACTCCTCCTCCTTCTCCCCTGCAACACCAATTTTCCTTCTGACCTTAAATTCATCTCTGGCTCTCACTTTTCTACATCCCTTTTCACCGAACACTTAGAACAAACTATATGCCTCCATTTTCTCACCACTCTTCATTCCAATAATGCTAAAGTTAATGGACACTTTTCAGTCCTGAAATTTATTTGACCTTCTGTGATATTTAACACAGGGGATGAATACTACCTAAAACTCCTCTGCTTTTATCTTTAGTCCTTATTCTCAACTCTCCCCCACCCACATACCCCTTGTATCTATGTACTGGCGTTCCCTTGATATTCTTCTCACTCTTCACTCTGCCTGGACAAGCTTATGCTCATTTACAGATTATACTACTACCTACATAACATGGGCTTGGAAAGTAGTATTTCCATCCAGTCGATAGACAATCTCCATTTGAGTAATAACCCATAGCCACCTTAATTTAACATTGGCTCCCTGTATACCCCTTGCCTACTTCCTCCTAACCTTCAAGTCTCCTTTAAAGGTTCTCTATAAAGCCTATTGGTATTTTCTTCTACGCAGTTCAGAAATAGAATCACAGAGCCACACCAACTCTATTTCCGTAATCTCTTTCATTTCCTACTTCTCTCTTCCATCTATGCCTTGATTTAAGCTCTGTTTATCTCTCATTAAGATTATTCCAGGGGCATTTGGGTGGCTCAGTCAATTAAGCGTCCAACTCTTTGATTTCAGCTCAGGTCATGATCTCAGGGTTGGGAGACTGAGTACTGCCATCATGGAGCCTGCTTAAGATTCTCTGCCCCTCCCCCCCAAAAAAATAAATAAAGTAAAAATTTTTAAAAATAAAGACATTCCAATAGCTTCCTATCTGTCTTCTACCCCCAATCCCTCTTCCCTCATATCCACCCTTCAGTTATCAAAATATCTTTCCTTTTTTTTTTTTTAAAGATTTTATTTATTTATTTGACAGAGAGATAGAGAGAGAGCACAAGTAGGCAAAGAAGCAGGCAGATGGAGAGGGAGAAGCAGGCTCCCCTCAGAGCAGGGAGCCCGATGCGAGACTCGATCCCAGGACCCTGGGATCATGACCTGAGCCGAAGGCAGCCGCCCAACTGACTGAGCCACCCAGGCGCCCCTCAAAATATCTTTCTAATGAGACAGTCTTACAACTCTCCTACCTAATTTGAGCCAATAGCTCCTTACTGCCTACCTCTTAAAGTCCAAATTCCTTAACCTACATAAGGCCTTTCCCCTACCCTTTCTCAAAATCCAGCTACCTGTGCATCTTACACCCTTTGTCCCCAACCTTCTACTTTAAATGCCAGCCAAACTGAACTCTCCACACTCTTTCATGTTGTCTGTCCCCAACTATATCCATATGCCCATCCCCAACTATAGCCATATGGAAAAATATCCTTCATCACCCAGTTAAATTTTTCTTGTGAAATCACCATTGATGCCTCAAAGCAGAGTAGGGAAACTCCTTTTCTGCTGCTCTGACACACAGGACATGTTTCTGATACATCGGTTATCACGATATAACTCTATGCCTGTCCTCTCTACCAAAGGAACTGCCAAAGAGCCATGTTCAGAAAGTGTTTATGAATAAACAAATGAACTAATAAGAGTACAGAGTGTCCAAAAAGGTTTAAAATACAACAAAAATTATTCTCTGTTACCTCTAGATGTTCAGTCATTGGTTGACTAGGGAGAAATTAAGCATAGCTAAAAATGCTATGGATGGAAATAAATAATGAAAGGACAGTTGAGGTTTTAATCTTCCCTTAAGGCTGTAGCATTTCTGTACTACAAAATGGTAACAGTCACTCTCCAACGACACTCATCCTATTGACTGCCAACTTGTTATGTAGCAAAAGTATAAACTAGGAATAAATCAGCTGCAATTCAATTTATCTCTGCTAGATTTGGATTTAGATATTAAGAACCACTTCTTTTATCTCAAGCAATAATTAAAGTAAAGAAATACTTATTATCAAGCACTAACCATTAGTACTGCAAAGATCTTCCTTAGTCCAGGCCAAAAGGGGAGGTATACATTGAGCAATGAATTCTTTCTTGTCTTCTTTTGACAAAAACGGACACAGACTTTGAATGGTATGCATATTACCTTCCGTTAGTGGGAAAAAACTGTTTAAAGAAAAGGAAAAGTATGAATTATATTTATCCTAAACATGCAGTGGTTTCAGAAAATTCCTTCAGAATATTCAAAAAGACTAATAATGCCACTATATAAAATACCTATAGAAAAAAAAGGAAACAATGAAGAGATTGAGAGTTGCTGGTTCTGGATGATGAAAGGCTTCTAGTTTTTAACATAAGCATATATAACTTCACCCCCATGTATAATTTTTAAAAATTATACAACAATATATGATGATTATGTTCTCTTTAAGAGTCAACTGATTCATTTAAACAGTACTAGTTGTGTCCTTTCTACGAATTGATATTCACAGATGTCATATATAGACTTGAATTTTATGTTTATGTATTTATGTTTTTATTATTAGTTTATGTGTTTATGTATTTACATAATAAGATCACTTTAAATATACTACTGTATTACTTTCCACTTACATTTTAGACCTTTCTACGTCAGAACATATGGATATAAATTACTTTCTATTTTAAAACTCCATAACTAAATTAAGAAAAAAAGAAAAATATTCCATACTATCATAATTTAACTATTCCCCTATTAGTGGGCATTGACGTTTTTCCCCAAATTTTGCTCTTACAAATAAAGTTGCAATAAATGTCTGGGAGCAAGGTATTATTCTGCATATGTGCAAATATAATACTATTTAAGCTAGATTCCTAGAAGTAGAATTACAAGAGCAAAGGATATGAATGTATTACATTTTGATAATTTCAAATTGCTTTCCTAAAAAGCACAATTTACACTTTCACCAAAAATGGACAAGTGTGACTGCACACTTAATGAATCTTCTTAGTTTCTAGAAAGATGGCAGATAAAATGTGCTTCTTTTAATTTGTATTTCTATCATTATTACTATGACAAATTCTTTCATTTTTCATTTTATAAATGAAATGACTACTGAACATTTCGTCTATGAATTACTTGTTAAAGTCCTTGACACATTTTTTAATTTGGATGGTTTTACTGATTAATAGAAGCTATTATGGATATTAAGTTTTTAATTTGTAAAAGTTTTCTCCCATTTCGTCACTTGTCTTTTAACCATTATTTACTGCATTTTTGTCATACAGAAGTTTTCTTTTTCTAAAAATTTTTAATTATGGGTAAAATACACATTAATTTAGCAAATTAACTATTTTAAGTGTACAGTTCAGTAGTGTTAAGTACATTCACACTGCTGTGTAAACCAATCTCTGGAAGTCTTTTCATTTCACAAAACTGGAACTCTACCCATTAAACAAGAACTCCCCATTTCCTCTCTCCTCAGGTCTTCACAACCACCATTCCACCTTCTGTCTCTATGAATTTGACTACTCTAAGTATCTCATATAAGCGGAATCATATAATATTTGTCATTTATGCCTGGTTTATTCCACTTAGCATAATGTCCTCAAGGCTTATCCATGTTATAACATGTGTCAGAATTTCCTTCCTTTTAAAAGCTGAATAATATTCCATTGTATGTGTATACCACATTTTTTGATTATCCATTCATTTATTGATGGGCCCTTACGTTGCTAGAAGTTTTCATTTTCACAAAATGAAATATCTATCATTTCTTTTACAGATTCTGAGTTTTTGTGCTTTGCTTAAGATCTTCCTCATAACAAGATTATATAGAGACTCTTATTTTCCCTTGATACTTTTATACAGATCTGTTTTACATTTTACATTTACATTTAGCTTTCATCTGGACTTCATTCTGGTGTATAACGTAAGAGAGGGGCACCTTGCTATTTTTTTCAAACATATCCGGTTTTCCTAACATCATGTATTATTGACTCATGCCTCTAATTTGACAGTTTCAAAAACTAAATCCTCATATCTGCATGGATTAGTTTTGGGATTCTATATCTTGATCCACTGATTTGTCTATTCACCAATTTAATACTGCTTAATTATTATATTGACAAGGCAAGTCCTTTCCACTTTTCTCTTTCAGAGATTTCCTACTGATTCTTTTTCTGCCCCCCTACCAACTCTTGAGCATTCTTCCTTGAAAGGCAGTTTGTCAAGTTTTTCAAAAAACATTGCTGGAATTTTGATTGAGATTACACTGCAATTAGATTGACACAACCATTTTTACAATTTATCTTCCCACCTTCTTTTGTAATCTTTACTAAAGTTTTATACTGTGTTTTTTTTTTGTTGTTAAATTATAGGTATAGTTTTGTTGTCATTTTGAATAGAATCTTTTTTCTTACGCCATTTTTAATATTGTTTGTTTGTTTATTTGGCAGAGAGACAGAGAAAGATAGCGAGAGCAGAAACACAAGCCAGGGGAGTGGGAGAGGGAGAAGCAGTCTTCTATTATTTACTTATTTGACAGAGAGACAGAGAGCGAGAGCAGAAACACAAGCAGGGGGAGTGGGAGAGGGAGAAGCAGGCTTCCCGCCGAGCAGGGAGCCTGATGAGGGGCTCTATCCCAGGACTCTGGGATCATGACCTGAGTTGAAGGCAGATGTCTAACGACTGAGCCACCCAGGCGTCCTATGCCATTTTTAATTATTACTACTGAATAAAAAAGTTTTTGATTTTTCTGCCAAGTGTAAATCCATCATTAGTAATTAGTTCTAATACTTCTCTAGTTAATTCCCTATTACTTTTATAATCAGAAAAAAATTAAATTATGCTAAATAAAAAAGCCAATGTCTAAAGATCATATGCTATATGATTTCATTTATATAACTTTCTTAAATGATAAAGAGAACAGATTGCTTGTTGCTGGAGATGAAAATGGGAGGAAGAGAGGTGGCCCTGGTTAAAAAAGGGTAACACAAGGGATCCTTACAATAAAGCTGTTCTGTCTCTTGGTCTGTGGTAGTGGTCAGACATGTGAATTACATAGAACACACACACAAATGAGTACACGTAAACTTAGTCAATGGATGGTATCGATGCCATTTTCCTGGTTGTGAAATTGTATTAAAGTTATGCAAAATGGTACCACTGAGGGAAACTGAATGAAGGGTATATGGAATCTCTTTGTATCATTTCTTACAATTGCATGTAAATCTATAACTACTTCAAAATAATAACTAATAAAACATTTCTAAATACGAAAAAATAGAAATTTAGTTTACAATTCTACTGTACCAGAACATATACATATCATTTCAGAATTCTTGGTAAATCAGAAAATTCGAAATGCCTCTTGGTAAATTTCAACTAAGTGTTTGAGTGTTCAGCTTCTCTAATATGACCAACTCCAGATCTCTAGTATGTCCAACCCCATAATCTATTTCTTTGTCTTAAGAACACATTTATCACATTTCTATAGTATTTTTCAACAGGATGATCCTTATTAAAGAGAAGAGTAAGTAACTTTTCCTATCACTTCCAAATAGCAAATAAAGTAATAGAAGAAAGATGTTAGGGAGGGGAAAAAGAAAGATTTCTACCAAAGAGATTTCTGGGGAAAAGAGAGCAAGTTAACAAAATGCTTTTTAAACCAAGTATAAAATTCCATAACAAAATATTATAAAGTTAAAAATACTTATAAAATAAGGTGTGTCCCGACCCTAAAACAACTGAAATTCTTTTAAAGTCTTTAATTCTCTCAGGGTGCCTCGGTGGCTCAGCTGAGGGGCTCCTGAGTGGCTCAGTTGGTTAAGCCTCTGCTTTCGGCTCAGGTCCTGGGATCAAGCCCCACGTCAGGCCCCCTGCTCAGCAGGGAGTCTGCTTCTCCCTCTCCCTCTATGTGTGCTCGCTCGCTCTCTCTCCCCCCACCAAATAAATAAAATCTTAAAAAAAAAGTCTTTAATACTCATTTCCTCATTTCTTAAACCTTGTTTCCTGATTGATTAGAGATTATTCATTAGTTGGGGTTGCCAAAGTGACCAAATACAACAAAGTACAAACATTTTAAATCAGAATACCCTTCTTTTCTCCTATAATGCCGTTTTACTTCATCAGATGAAACACTTTGGGAAAGGATCAACTTAGCAATAATTAGAGACCAAAGGGTGCCATTTTCCATGGATCTAAAAAAAGAAAAAGAAAAAATCCATTTTCAAAATGTTTAAGATTTTTAAAGACTGTTTGCCTGATTCCTTTTACAGAATTAAATAAATCACCTTGTGAGGGTATTAATTCACATAGGGATTTTGCCCCCAAACAACTGCCATTACTGAATGGACTGGAGGCTTAGCTTCCAACACTCCTGGTACTGAGCTCTCATCCCCAAACCCTGCAAATCCCAATAGGGGAGATTAGCCTTGAGGACCAGAGACTGCAGCTGGGAAAGGACATATTCCACAGGACACCAAGCCTGGTTAATGCTGAAGAACCAAGGAGGTATTAATATCAGCCGGGGAAAGTTCTGAGTGTTGAGTATGTGGACTGAGATTGCAGCGAAAGATGTACTCAGCCTGGGGCCCCTGATACCACAGAGCATACTCAAAACACTATTGGCTAGTGAGAAAAAGACAGAAGCAGTTCAACACAGTAATTTCAACAGGCTAAATATGTAACTGCTATAACCTGTATGACTGCTGTCATACCTACTTCCTCAACTAGGCGAGAGGGTTCTGTGGTTATAATCTTTTTTTAAAAAAATATTTTATTTATTTATTTGAGAGAGACAGAGATAGAGCACGAGCAGGAAGGAGGGGGAGAAGGAGACTCCCCACTGAGCAGGGAGTCTGATGCGGGGCTCCATCCCAGGACCCTGGGATCATGACCTGAGCCGAAGGCAGATGCTTAACCAACTAAGCCACCCAGGCGCCCCTGTGGTTATATTGTTAAGACACATCTGTAACAACATGCAAAGTAAAAGCTTAGATTTGAGAGTAGTGGAAGGATGGATCACAGATGACAAAACAACTTCTATAAGGTTTCTATTTCTTTCATTGTCATCTGTCCCATTCTTGAATGTATTTATGGATTTAAGAACGTAAGCAAAGTTCAAATATCTCCCCAGATGAGTAAATCGAGTACTTAGAATCCACAAAGTATTTATCATTAAGAATTGGGTTTAATTTAGGGGCACCTAGGTGGCTCAGTCGGTGAAGAACCTGCCTTCGTTGGGCTCTGGTCATGATCCCGGGATCCTGGGATCCATCCTGGAATCCTGGGATCCATCCTGGAATCAGGCTCTCCGCTCAGTGGAGAGTCTGCTTCTCCCTCTCCCTCTGCCCCTCCCCCTGCTTGTGCTTTCTCACTCTGTCTCAAATAATACATATTAAAAAAAAAAAGAAAAAGAATTGGGTTTAATTTAGACCAACCCTCTGACTGAAAGATTAGCACAATGTGAGCTTACATTTTACAGAAACAAAGCCAAAAATGAGTAAAATAATCATATAAAAATGGATGTTGAAAGGGATTCTTACCTGTTAAATAACAGCTGTAAAAGGCCAGAAGTATTACCAAGTCCACGTAAGTTATCATACGTAATATTCATCTTTTGAAGCATTTCACAAAATCCAGTTAGGAAAATAGGTGGATTGTCTAATTCCTCATACCACTGCAGTGAATAGAGCAGTTCTGCAACTATAGAATGGACGACACATCATCAAGTGTATTCTGTGAAGAGGTCTTCTATCACTTTCACTTCTGTGCCCCATTTTCTAATACTGCTATGCCCACCAGTCTCAAAATATCTATGAACTGATTTTCAAATCTGCTTTGAGATGTTCCATAATGAAACCTGAAAACATTTGATACAAAATAAGACTCTTCTCCCAAATCTTACTTGGTTCCTTTTCTGATTAGTTAAGAATGCAACTAGCCTAAGTTACCAGAAATACCGGAAGAATCTTCCTACTATTTTTGCCTCAAGTGGTAACAAGTTACTTACAGGACAAACCACTAATGGACCCAACACCTGAAATGAGAAGTTCAAGCCAATGTTAAGGAATGGGAAATACCATGATATAGTAAACAGGGCGTGGACTTCGGTGACAGACTGGTCTGGATTCAAATGAGCTGTACATACAGTTATCAATTAGAGTACGAAAATCTGCCTCAGGGAGTGCTGTGAGAATTCAATGACCAGTACCTATCACAAAACCTAGCACATCATAGTAGATTTTAATACATAATTAGTCACAACACTCTCTTATAAAGCCACGTATGGATTTTGGAGTCAGAAGACCTGAGACCTGGTTCAAAATCTAATCCTATCCCTTCCAAGCTAAGTAACTTTAATCAAGTCAAGATAAGAAAACAACAAGGTGAGGAAAACAACAATAATAATATCTGATAGGGTTGATAAGAAGATTAAATACATAATGTTGTCAGTTTGTAATTAGTAACACAATTAACAAAAACAAATATTACAAAGATCATTACTCCAATTTCCAGTTTTGTTTTTGGACAGATTCACTCTATGGGCAATGTAAACTGCAGCCTAATCTCCTTGCCCTTAACTGCCTGTGGAGCTGCTAGTCAGAAGAGGGGTTCCAGCTTTCTTCCCCAGGGCATATGTTCTCTTCTACTACTAACTATTCTACAGCTGAAGGCTTACAAACAAGACTGACAGAGAAATTATGCAAATCCTCTGTACCTTTAATACCATTTTGTATAGGTCACTCTGCTTCCTACAATTCTACACCATTTCCTAGAATGGGAGAATTTTTTGTTTGAATTTTTACTAGTCTTTTTGTTCAGGTAAACTGTTAACCTGCCACAGGGTATTTAATGTGTGTGTGTGTGTGTGTGTGTGTGTATACATACATCCCTCTGAACACAAAGGTTTGGTGGTTCAAAAACTGAAAATTCAGAATCCTTGATGAAACGTTAGACTCACTTAACCATTTTCTTTAAGGATATATGCCATAGGATCTACCTGTATCAATGTCTTGCCAGCTTAAGTAACGGATCTTATACCAAATTCTGCTCTATTGCTAATAAGATTATAGCAAGATTTCAGTATGTTTCCATCCAATTTGCAATTTACCATTCACCACTCAAGTAACTTCAAGTTTCTCATCACTAAAACAGCTAATAGGAATGGAAGATTCTTATCGAAATTGCAGGTTAATCAAAATTCTTTCAAAATTATAATTATTTCAAAACATTTCTATTATATCTGAATGCTCATATATACTTACTTATTTTCTCAAGCTCATTATTTTCTAGGACTATTTCCTTTTTCAGTGCAACTAATATCATTTTGCTCAATAATGCTGAAGTACACAAATGGCTGGGAAGTTTCTTTGTATCTTGTTCTTTAAAATCTGTTTTGAAACACTCATAATTCAAACTCAATCTTCCTTCTAAAAGAGGTCTGTGCAACCACTGTAAAAAGAATACATTAAATTATATACAAAATCATTAGATATTCTAAATTATTTACTACCTATGCAGTTAAGACAGGGAACAAAAATGAAATTATTAGAATATCTTCAAAATGTTATTAGAATAACTTCAAAAATGAAGTTATTACTAGTTTATTAGTAAAATCACAGAAGCCTAGAAGTTTGGGTTTTACTTTAAGAAATTATCAACATGTGTATTTAAGACTCCTTCAGGACAAAACTAGGTCTAATTCACCTTGTACCATGGCAACTGCCATTGTCTTACAAACAACAAACATACAATATATGAGCATTCAGAGATGTAAAGGCAAAGCAGTATACTCATTTCATTTACCTTTTTTCTCCCCAGAAAAAAAAACAGAAGATAGTCATTTTGTTTACTTTTTTCTTCCCCAGAATAAAATAAAAATGTTTAAGATTGCACAAAGTCCAAAGTTCAGAATAAGATAAGCACTGTCCAATCTCAAACATACCTGCATAGGAAGAGACTGTCTCATCTTTTCCCATTCACTGTTGCTTGGCATTACACTTCCAATATACACTCCCAGAAGATTAGTATCTTCACTTTCTAGAAGCGTATTTAGCAAGTCATCAACAGCAGACAAGAGGACTTGAAGACTGAAAATAATGCAAACAACGTAACTATTACAGTTATGCTATGACTAACTTAACACCCCCGTACACATTAAATACCCTGTGGCAGGTTAACAATTTACCTGAACAAAAAGACTAGTAAAAATGAAGCTAAGCAACTCCTCTACCCTATATCCAAAATACACACAGCCAAATTGTGGATTTAATCCAACATTTATGATCTGAAATTGAGTGCTGCTTCTATCTCAGAATGAATGGAACTTGACCTATTTCAGATCAGATATTTCTGAAATACAGCTACCTTATTGTATGAAAAAAACCATGACGTTCAGCAAAATATATGACCCAACCCTAACAGCCTCTGGATGCATTCTCTTGGTTTTCACTTTTACATATGGATTTAGGCATGAGGTATGAAATATATTTGCAATTCAACACCTTTAAGCAGTGGCTACCTGGCCCCCAAAATAAACAATGAAGAATAATCACTATGTGTGGTGGCCATGAGGGGTCATGGTTATAATCCACACCAGCCCACAAGACACAGGATGGCACCACCATCACATCACTGAGCATAAATTAGGAGTCCAGCAGATATGCTAAGACAAATCACTCTTCATTTAATGGAATTTAAATGAATGATCATTAAAACAAATTCCTTTTGGAAAAATCTTTTTGTCTGGATCTTCTCTTCGAGTCCTATAGATTTCTTATATAACAAATCATTTTCCATAGTCATTCACACTAATCATGGGCTCTTATTTAAAGACAGTGATCAGGTATTAAAGACAGAGCAAATGAGCATAAAAAATGTTACCTTCTGATATCCAAAGATGAAGACTGAACTTGGTTCTTCAGCCACAGAGCAGACAAACATAGGAAGGTACTCTGTTTATATGTATTGCCAGTTTGGTGGATCAATAAATTCACACCACAGAGCCAAGTATTTTTCAGTTTACAGATAAGAAAGTCTAAAATCAAGATGTCAACAGTAATTTGTAATCCCTATGAAGCAACTATAATCAGTACAAAATGTCTGAAATAACTCAATGTAGACTTAAGATTTTTAAGATACTGCTAAAAAAGGAGAACATAAAATTTTGCCAAAACAAAATAATGGTCATAAATGTGCAATAATACAAGCTAGCTCATGCCATGTAAATACAAACATGTTAAGATTTTTTAAGTTAGCTTTCTTCTGCTCTGAATTTATTTATAAGAGCACTGTCCTTTTGGAGATGTGAAAAATATTATACCTTTTCCAAATAGAGAAGTTAGTATAAAAGGGAGGAAGGGTATCAATACTAGTATTTTTTAACATTCCTTTCAAAATTAAGTCTTGATTAATACATAAGGCAATATAGTCCTTAAAAAGGCAATCTCAATTTCATTTCGATATATACCAACAGTGAGGAAGAGAAGGAGATATTAATTACCCGCTCCCCCTTCCCCCCGTTAATGAATGTGGAGATTGAGGCATCAAGAAATTAAGCAACTTGCCAAACCACAGCCACTGAGTGAAGGGGTTAAGATTCCAACTCATCTATCATGGCCCCTTCTAAAACTGTGTCATTGGTATCAAGAAAGAATTTAGACATAATGTCTACAGACATCTTTAACTTGGTTTCTAAAGCTCAAAGTGTTTAAGATTTGTAGCCCTTTACTCAAAATGCCTTCAACTTTCAAGTACATTATGATTCATTTAATAAAGCCTGGGCACTTACACTATGAAGGTCAGAGCCGGAGATTCCCAACAAAACATTTGAGCAGTAAGCTATTACCTGGCAAATGTGTTTTTTCTTTGCTCTGAGCACATAACTGAAAGAGAGTTAATAATAAGTCTTCAGATGATGGCATTAGCAAACATCCTTTTGCTGAGTTGAAATAGTTATAGGCCACATCACAGATAAAAGACACTGACGAGTCATTATTTTCAGCTTCTGACAATTCCTTTGCTTTGGATAAAGTTTCATGAAGTTTAACGATAATTCTTTCAACATATACTTCTCCAATCAAGTAATCTAGAGAAAAAAAGTTCACAGAGACAAAAAATTTTAAAAATATTAACAGTGTGTTTTTTATTACCTTACTTCGGGTCAACAACCACTTAAATCTTTCTGTGTATTAAAAAAAAATGTAGTAGACAAAAGAAAATTATATCAATAAATCAATCTGATCTCTCACACATAAAAGCCCTAATGTAAAAAAACAATTTTAAAGTAAAAAAAAAAGCAATGCTCTATAAAATTAGTGAACAGCTTTGCTATTCAAAACCCTTTAGAATATAAAACTAAAAATATTACAATGTCTTCCAAGTCATGCTAAAAAGATTAACAAACATTTAGGGTGCTTATAAGATTAAAATATCTGAATGAACTCTTGTTATTCTTAATCAATTACATGCAAACTTTGCAATATGGAATCCCCCCCAAAAGCAAAAGATTTTTTTCCTACTAAAAAACAAAAGCCATATTTTTGCCTACCATTTTTAATGTGTTGGGATAATACCAAGCTTAGAAGAGCCCATCTTTCTGAGAAGTAAGATTCAGAAGGTACTGAGGATTCCAAGTCCTTATTACAAAGATGATCTGCCAAGGTTACCAATTTCTCTCCAATGATTTCTCCTTTTAGCCAAGGAGTTACTAAAGCATGTTTATCTGAACTAGAACATGCCTAAAACCATAAAATCAAAGCAAAGATTAGAAGCAAGATCAAAAAGTATATCTACCTAAAATATTACTTGTACCATATTACCTCCCTTCATCATCATGGCCCCAACACTACCCCCACTCTTCCTCAAGTTCTAAGAAGGCTGGTATTGTCCCTCTTCCCCACTAAGCCTTGCTTATGTACACTTTCATGCTTTACTCACGCTATCTTCCCAACCACAAATACTTCCCCTCTTCTTTACTTATCAAAATCCCATCCATTCTCTCAGAATTGTTACAAAGCCCACCTGCTTTACGAAATCTTCCCCAACCACTCCAGTCCATACTCATCACTGCTTTTCTCTGAATTTCTAAAGCACTTACTGGATTGTATTATTATTTATAATGTTTCATCTGTGTATGTCTTGTTTCCAATGGGATTGTAAGTTCCTTGAGAGTAGAGACTGTCTTAAACTTCTTTGATACCTGCTATCAACACTGCAGATATGTTCAATGAATAATGAATGGATGAACTTTGAAGACAGATTTTAAAATGCTCTATATTTTAAATTTCTGTTCATTAATTTTACTAAAATTAAAGAACAACCATTATTTAATAGTTGTAAGTTACTTCAATATGAACAATGGGCCTTATTATTTCCCTTAATTCTCTGCAATAGTAACTGAGGCCAGATATCTAACAGCAACTGGTTTATTTTCATGGAGTGGGGAAGCAAGGAAAAAAAAAACTGTAAATCCACCCCCAAAAGCATGCTGATCCATGTTTCCAGAGCTTCTTTTGCTTTAGGGCTGACAAGAAAGGAATTTGCAACTTGGTTCATTTCAAAGCAATCTGGAAAAAAAAAAAAAATCCAAGTGCGGATTGGGTGGTGCCTAAAAAACTGTTTATCCTCTTATTTAAGAAACTGTAGGTAACCAGGACTTTTATTTTAGCCCAAGCTTTACCACTATTCTGGCTTTATGACCTTGGACAAATCTCTTAACCAACCTGGGCCTCTTTCCTCATTTTAGAAATGAAGATTAACCTAGAAAATCTCAAAAGTCCTTTTCTGGTTACAAAATTCAGGTTTGTTTTTAAAGAAGCTGACTTTATAACTCTGATCATAAAGTATAAAGTTGCATAAAAACAAGAAAAACTAGAGTCTATATAGCTATAATATTGGCTTTCCTAACACAGTTTACTAAATAAAACTGATCTATTTTAAAGAATCCAGGAAATAAACTTCTAAATGTCTCTCAAGTTAGCAAGACATGAAGTACAATACTTAATGTTTTAACCAATCTACAGAAAGAACCTGACCAGCTTTAAGGAGGAGTGAAGAGACCAGTTAGTCATGGAAGTGTAAGAGGCAAACACACCCGTAACTTCTAAACTCTACCCAGGAAGAGCATAGTCTTCCAAATGGATATGAGTATTTGAGTTACCTGGCAAGTACATTCCTAAGTTAAAAATGGGTATTAGTCTTCTCTTATCAAATTATTAACTCCTTTTGCTCTGATTCTAGACTTACCAAGTAGCTTTCTGATAATTTGGCTTTTCATGTACCCTGTCTATAGAAAGAGAAGGTACTGGATAAACTAATGAAATATTGATAAGTTATATTTCTCATTGAAAAACAGTAAATTAATATTCTGTATTTATTCTGTAAAAAGAAACTATTAGGGGAAATAGGGAGTTACTATTTAATGGGCATAGAGTTTCAGTTTTCCAAGATAAATTCTGGAGACTGGTTCACAATACTATGAATATCCTTAACACTACTGAACTGTAAACGCAGAAATAGTTGAGATAGCAAATTTTGTTATGGGGCTTTTACCATAATTTAAAATAAAGATACGAAAAAAAAAAACCTTAAATTAAAAAGTAAATTAAAAAGTTATCTGTGTAAAATTTAAAAATAATAAAAAATGCTAAAATAAAAATTTTAGGTAACTAGTCTAAACATTTCTATGGTTGAAAAGTATTGCATCGGGCGCCTGGGTGGCTCAGTTGGTTAAGCGACTGCCTTCGGCTCAGGTCATGATCCTGGAGTCCCTGGATCGAGTCCCGCATTGGGCTCCCTGCTCAGCAGGGAGTCTGCTTCTCCCTCTGACCCTCCCCCCTCTCATGTGCTCTCTCTCATTCTCTCTCTCTCAAATAAATAAATAAAATCTTTAAAAAAAAAAAAAGAAAAGTATTGCATCATTTACATCTTTATTAGGATAAAACACTTAAGCCATTTTTAAAACTTCTAAATTGCTTAGGTTCCTTGATTTCTTTTCATTATTTCTATCACTAATTTTATTTAGTCAAGTGGCAATCAGACAAAGCCTGGAGGATCTTAATTTGCCTGTATAGTATTCCAGAGTAGGACAAACTTAATTTCTTGAAGTGTTCTAGCCAAAGCTAAAACCACTCAATCCATTTCTATAGAAGAAAAGGTAACTAGGATAAGGGTAGAAACCTATAGTCTTAATTTAAAGGTAATCAAATGTTTAACTCTCCCTTTGTTACCTGCTAGGGGAGAAACACTGGATTTTCCAGAGCCTAGTCCCTCTTTGCTGATATTCCTAACCAGAAAAATAATACTAAAGAAAGGCAAACAACAAAAGCTTTCCCAATTATGGGAAGAAAGTTATGATAAGAAGGAAGTTCTCTAACAGAGACACCTGACTACATACCTGCATGTGAATAGGATTGGTTTTAATTTTTCTATACCCATAAATACAAAAAAGGAGAAAAAGAAAAAAAAAATCCCTAAGATACCTTTTCAATGACCTGAAGAATAGAATTCCATTTCAGATCCCCCTGAAAGAGGAAAAAGAATTAGAAATAATCTGCTAGAAGGAATGAAGTCGCTATGTAATCACTACAAAACTAAAACTTTTTTAGCTACTCCAACTTTAAAAAGTATAGACTAAAAAACTTTGCCTTTTATTACCAAGCATTTGTCATCTTACCATTCTTACTGAACACATACCCGTAAGTCTCATACACCTCCCCATCACAATCAAGGATATATTGCTTGTGCTCGCTTTGGCAGCACATATACTAAAATTGGAAAGAATATATTGCTCTTCTTTAAACAGATATTCACAGCCAAGAAACCACCCAAGAATAACCTCCATGCAGGTCTCATTCTATTTGTCAATAATTAGTGTGGCAATGTAAACCATTATAGTTTAAAGAGATACACAAGAACAATACCTCAATGAGATCATCCAAGACATATTTTCTTTCCATATTATTGTCACAGCAATGGAGGGCACTGTACAAAATGTCCACCAAGAAACCAGCTTCCTTCCTTGGATCTTCATTTAGCCAACCAATCAGTTTCTGGTATAAAAACCGCACTGCAGGATTTTTTTGTGCAAGTCTGGCTATTTCAAGAGGTTTAGCTTTGACAATACTCCATTTTTCATCACCTAACAATATTTTAAATACCTGGGTTGAAGAGAAAGAACTAAGCAGAGTAGAAAGGAACCTTAGATGTTGCTCCGACTTTTGCTCATTGACATAATTAAAACTCATCATTGCTAGTTTACAGACCAAGTCTTCCAAAGGTTTCTTCCTTAGCGGCGATATAAGGTCTGAACAATTATGAGTGAGAGAAGGTTCAGTCATTAATTCAGAGCCTTCACTGTTCTCGCCTTCTGAGGAGACACATTTTTCATTCTCTTTATTACTTTCTGGTAGCTCATCAGTAAATCTAACCTTACCAACTTTTTTTTTATTTGACTTCAGTGAGCCCTTTGGCTTCTGAAGGACCTGTAGCAGGTTAGATACACCTGACACGGATTTCACATCAGCTTCTGGCTCATTGATTTTCTCCACACAGATCTCTGAGAGTCTTTCCCAAAAATTTAGTAGCACTTTGTCCAAACTGTGAGCTGTTTTATCATCTTTTTCCACATTTGCTTTGGTTTCCCAGGAACTTAAAGTTTCTGCTAAATGGTTAAACAGCTGCCCATCTTGCAATCTTGGGTCTTTGAGGACGGCATCAATAAAAGGAATCAACTAAAAGAGAAGGTAGAAATAGAAAAGTTCAGTTTTCAGGAGCAATATAATTTAAACAAGGTATTTGTAAAAAAAACAAGTAAAATTAAATAAACAAGGGCGGGGGGGGGGCGCCTGGGTGGCTCAGTCCTTAAGCAGCCCCCGACTCTTGATTTCGGCACAGGTCATGATCTCAAGGTCTTGAGATCAAGCCCCGAGTCAGGCTCTGAGCTGGGCATGGAGCCAGCTTAAGATTCTCTCTAAACCTCTCCCTCTGCCCCTCCTCCCACTTGCTTGCTTGCTCTCTCTCAAAATTAAAAAAAATAAATAAACAAGGTATTTGTAAAATATTATAAAATTCCATATTTAATAACTGAAAAACATTGATTTTTTTCCCCCTCAAAACTCTGAAGAGTTAACTTGAAGATCATTTTCATATCATACAAAGAGGTTAACAATTTCGCTGCATTCCCCCTAAATTACTTTTTATGATATAATTAATCAAGATTATTGGTCATTAACAAATAATATAGTCTTCTTTGCATTTTCTGAACTTATTCAAGTTTTTTACTTTTTTCTAAATCAATATGAAAGACATACAGGACCCATAGAGTTCAGAACGCTTTTTCTTAAATTACAAAGAGAAGTTAACGGAGACCTCAACCAGGATCTACGCTTATATAATTTCATTAATTTCCTAACATAAGGAACCATATTCCAGAACTTGCTCTCATCACTGGCTCTAAAAGCCAAGCACAACTGTTCACAAAAGGATAAATGTTGTTAAATATTTTAGAAGTAACAAATTATTGCATAATTTACACTTAATATAAAAGACCACAAATAGCAACTTTGAAACTATGTTTTGTGTTACAACTCTACAATAAACAGGGTTTGCACATCCAGAGACTAATTAGTACTCAAGAATTATGGTATTATTCTGGCAACAAACAATATAGAATTTTTATTTAGTTGGTCAGCAATACACGTTACTCAATTTGTAAATAATAAAAAATGAAATCTATATGAAGGCTAATTAATAAAAATGGCAACAAGATACAATGGGCTTGATTCTTTATAGTCAGTGTGCAAAGGCACTGATGATTTTTACATTATAAGTACCTGGTCATTGATGAGCATCTCTTCAATTTCTTCCTCACCTAAGTTGTGTTGCATTATAAAACGTAAGCATTCAAAAAAAGCTGATATTACTGCTGAGCACTCTGAAAAGCTGGTTTTTATTCTTTCTGTTGACAGCCTAAGAAATAATAAATAACTATGGCTTACTCTTTCACAAAAAAGAAAATAAGCAACTCAGAAACACCTAAATAAAGACATGGATAAGGCATCATACCAAAAGAAGAGAACTTTTTACAGTAAAATTCTTAAACTAAAAACTCAGAACAATAGGAACTTGAAGAAGTGTGAAAAAAGCATATTTTCAAATATGTCAACAAAAGAGAATACATGTCTATTTTCTATTCAGGAACAAATCCATCTGAAATTTTAAAGAGAGGACTTAAATAAAGATAATAATGTAGTAAAAAATAATTTTGTAATCATTAATAAAACTGAGTATCTTTTTTAAGTTCAACAATTACACTAAGAAATGATTTTTTTAAATTATGACTTTAAAAACAGCTATCATATTTAAGTTTATGGAAGTTACAAACTCTTCAGTGGTTCATTTTTTCCATTTGGGCATTTGTATTTATCAACATAACAAAAAATGACATTTGAAAAATGGTCTATTTCCATCTAAGGCCTTACCATATTCATTGCACTTTCTATTGTGTACTACAACTGAAGCCTTGAAAGTACCCAAGAAAAGGATTCCAATTGTAATTCTCTGAAAACTCTAAAAGTGCTTAATGAACAGCAAAACAATTTGGAGAAATTTAAATCAGACAATAACGAGTATGTCATCCTACCCATATATGCAAACAAGAAAAATCTCTTGTGATCAAGAAATTTAAACTCCTTACCCTGCAACTACAGAGGTGAGGAAATTTTTGAAGAAATCCAACTTTGGATCTGTAATGGTCTGAGGGAGTTTGCTGATAAATGGCAAAAGATAAGGATATATGACAGTAGCCAGACCCCGACCACCTTCACGGATCACAGCTGACAGCTTCGGAAACACACTTTTTTTTGCATTTACATGAAGCCAACAGTCCTAACAAAGGAAAGATTATAATAACAATTAGAGATCATAAAATACTCTTCCCAATTAAGAGACATATAAGCTCTCAAAAGTAATAATCATGCATTCTACCTAGAGAGGTTAAAATCTCTCATCACTAAAACTAAATTTAAACTAAAACTCAGAAACTTTAATAAATTTATTACATATAGTAATCATACGTGCTTAACACATAATTGATCAGAAATAATTAACTTAAAAGACTTCTACAAAAGCTGCTTTGTAAAAGGGACAGCAATATTCAATCTTAAATAAAAGATTCAGATATACTGACTGCACTGGACCACATAAGGTTTAAAGAATAATTGATACTGGCTAAACTAAAAGTACAATAAAAACTCTATGCCATTTTATAGTCAGTTTAAGATTTATACCAAGTTTTGGATTAAGTATTTTATTTCTAAGAAAATATTTTTTTCCAGTAAGTTTTAGATAGTATAATCTGATAGGCTCTCTCTCACATCATATCTAAGGCTTCTAAAATACAAACTAAGAAGACAAATACTCCCCGATGTACTGGATGTACCTCTCTTACACACCTCAATAGTTGTAAGTGTATACAGTACAGCTTCCCAGAGAGCTGGGCACACAATGGGGTCACTGTCATCAATGCTAAGTAGAACAGATGGGCTCACTTTGGATGCTTCCTCTTTCATCAACTGTGGAATACGCTGGCACAAAGCAGAAACTAACTCAAAATAAGCTGAGCGGATCTAAAACAAAAAAGGAAAAGCTGGATTAAATTAAAGCCTAGTAGAGCTACGATGAAATTTTTATTTAATAGCTTAATTGTTTATTCATACTAACCCTCCCATTAATAAAACTAAAAAGCCTAGAAAAAACATTTTAAAATCTTGCGTAGAGTATGTGGGCTGAAAGGACATTAGGAATTACCACATAAAAGTGAAGGCAGAAAGAATTCAACTTTCTATTTCTTTGGCTGAAGCCAGATCCTCTCTAGTGGCTGAGGTCTTCAGTTGGGGCCTCAAATTATTCCTATTGATGCACTAGGCTACTAGGCCGCACAAAGTTAAATACAACCAACCAAACAAAAACTAAGAAACCATCAGCCACTATCAGCAGAAACAAAAGATGACACAGAGATCTGAGACTTTAAATCTTTGAATTATCAGTTACAAATTCCTTATCAACAATTCTTATTATATTTAAAGAAGCAAAAGTTTAAAGAAATCTGAAAGGAAAAGGATCTCAGAAAAAGCACAGCAGATGTGAAAAAGAATGAAACACAATTCCTAAACTAAAAATAAACAGGCAGAAAGAAAGATAGATACATGATAGATAGATTAGAACTCAATTCACAGTTTAAGAACAGATCATGAGAAATAAAAAAATTATCCACCAAGTAGCATGGGAAGACAAAAAAGATGAAAAACACCAAGGACAACATAAAACACAGAGGATAAAGAAGATTTAATATATATTTAATCAGAATCCCAAAGGAAGAGGAGAGAATGAAGTAATGGAAATATCTGAAGAAGTTAATAGCTACACATTCTGTAGAGCCAATGAAATACACCAATCTACAAACTCAAGAAATCCAACAAATCCCAAGCAGGACACATAAAAAGGAATCTACACCAAGACACAAAATGGTGCAACTACAAAAAAAACAAAACCAAAACCAAAACCAAAACAAAGAGTAAACCTTAAAAGTGGCCAGAGGAAAAAGACAAACTACCTTCAAAGGAAGGACAGTAAGACTGACATCTAACTTCAATAGCAACAATAAAATCAACAAGAAAACAACTGCCAATATTTAATCCTGTACCCAGTTAAAATTTAGGTCAATGAGAATGAAGGGGTGTCTAGCTGGTTCAGTCAACAGAGCATGAGACTCTTGGTCTCAGGATTGTAGCTTTGAGCCCCACAACGGATGTAGAGATTACTTGAAAAAATAAAACCTTAAAAAAAAAAGAAAGTGAAATAAAAATATCTTCTGACAGAGGAAAGAAAAAGACTTCATCATTGGCAGACCAACACAAAAAGAAATCCAAAGGACATGTTCTACATACAAAGCAGATGATCCCAGATGGAAGGATGAAAAAAGGAATAAAGAGCAAACAAAGCAATAAATACGCAGGTAAAAAGATTCAAAGAGTATCATAATAATATTTTCTGGGATAAAAAAATACATATACACCTATATTAAACCTCACAAAGTACTTTATTTCTGCATATTTTATATAAAATATTACCAAATCGATTTTAGCAGTGTACTTAAAAAGATAAATACACAGCATGACTAAGTTTATCTCTTAAATGCTAGGCTGGAAAATTATATGATCATTTAAACATATCAGAAAAAGCAATCAAGAAAATTTTATCATTAATTTATGACAAATACTCAGCAAATTAAGAATAAAAAGGAGGGCGCCTGGGTGGCTCAGTTGGTTAAGCAACTGCCTTCTGCTCAGGTCATGATCCTGGAGTCCCTGGATCAAGTCCCGCATCAGGCTCCCTGCTCAGCAGGGAGTCTGCTTCTCCCTCTGACCCTCCCCCCTCTCATGTGCTCTCTCTCATTCTCTCTCTCTCAAATAAATAAATAAAATCTTTAAAAAAAAAAAAAGGAAAAGGAAACTTTAAACCTTAAAAAATCTAGAGAAAGCATCATACTCAAAATATTCTTTTTAAATAAGCAATTTTTTTTTAAGATTTTATTTATTTATTTGGCAGAGAGAGAGACAGCGAGAAAGGGAACACAAGCAGAGGGAGTGGGAGAGGGAGAAGCAGGCTTTCCACAGAGCAGGGAGCCCCATGTGGGGCTTGATCCCAGGACCCTGGGATTATGACCTGTGCCGAAGGCAGACGCTTAACGACTGAGCCACCCAGGCACCCCAATACTCAAAATATTAAGAGTCTACAACTATTTCATTAAAGTCAGGAACAAGAAAAGGATGCCAGCTATCACCACTTCTACGCAACTGCAGGACCTAATTAATACTAAGAGACAAGGAAAAAAAAAGAATTGGAAAGTAACCCAAGTAAGTAGCTATAATCATAACAAAATAACAGGCTATAAAAATATTCAAAAAGAGGGGCGCCTGGGTGGCTCAGTTGGTTAAGCGGCTGCCTTCGGCTCAGGTCATGACCCTGGAGTCCCTGGATCGAGTCCCGCATCGGGCTCTCTGCTCGGCAGGGAGCCTGCTTCTGCCTCTGACCCTCCCCCCTCTCATGTGCTCTCTCTCTCTCATTCTCTCTGTCTCAAATAAATAAATAAAATCTTTAAAAAAAAAATATTCAAAAAGATCTAAACACTGACTATTAGAACTAACAAGAGTTTGAGAGAGTTGCTGAATATAAATTAACATACAAAAGTATAGGATACCTATCTCAGTACAAACAAAATAAAAAATGTAATAAAAAATGTAACAAAAAACAAAACCCATTTCACAACAGCACCAAAAATTATAAACATGATCAGGATGAAACACATTATAAAATACTATTTTAGGATGAAAGGGGCCTAACATAGCCTAACATAACCTAAAATTTTTTAAAAAGAACAAAGCTGGAGGGTTTCCAAATTTATTACAAAACAATAATAATCAAGAGAGTGTGGTATTGGTGTAAGGATAAACATATAAATAAATGGAATAATGAGTCTAAAATTAAAATCCAAGATATATGGTCAACTGAATTTTGACAAAGGTGCCAGAGTAAGGATAAGACAGTCTTTCAACTTTCAGGATACTTCTATGAAAAAAACTAATTTGGGGCACCTGTGTGGCTCAGCTGGCGACTCTGCCTTCGGCTCAGGTCATGATCCCGGGGTCATGGGACTGAGCCCTATATCAGGCTCCCTACTCAGCAGGGAATTTGTTTCTCCCTCTCTTCCCCCACCCATGCTCTCTCTTTCCCTCAAATAAATAAAAAGAAATCCTTGCAGGGGCACCTCGGTGGCTCAGTGGTTGAGCGTCTGTCTTCGGGCTCGGATCATGATCCCAGGGTCCTGGGATCGAGTCCCACATTGGGCTCCCTGCTCCACGGGAAGCCTGCTTCTCCCTCTCCCACTCCCCCTGCTTGTGTTTCCTCTCTTGCTGTGTCTCTCTCTGTCAGATAAACAAAATCTTAAAAAAAAAAAAAAAAGAAATCCTTGCAGATTTGAAGGGATATAAATGAAGATGTTCACTGCTGCCTGTTGTGAAGGCAGGGAGTTGGAGGCAATCAGGGCGTCTACCACTGAGAGAATGTGGGGGGGGGGTAAAATGGAAGGAATGCAATTCTGAGTACTACAGAGCAGTTAGAAGGCACGGACCAAATATACATATAAGAACATGATAGATTTAAAGTATTTTAGTACTTTTGATTTATTTCTTTTCAGAGAGAGAGAATCTTAAGCAGGCTCCATGCTTAGAGTGGAGCCCAATGAAGGCTCAATCTCACAACCTTGAGATCATGACCTGAGCCAAAATCAAGAGTTAAGACGCTTAACCAACTGAGCCACCTAGTACTTAAAAAGTACTAAGTAAAAAATAAATGGAACGAAATATAACATAGTATCATTTATTTGAATTAAAAATACATGCAAAAGGGCTATGATGTGCCTAACAGAGAAAATGCATATTAGATAAGCTTCATTCAGGCATGACTTCTAGTGCTATTGTCCAGGAGTTCAATGTTAATGAATCAGCAATATATATTAAGATGTCTTTAAACAAACATACATAAAACAAGGTTATATATTGACCGAGAAAAATGTTGTGACCAAAGACTCGCAGACACCTAATCTTATATTTCCCCTAGGAGCAATGCTTCAGTATTCACTAATTCAATGTTTGCGGGTTCTTCATATAACCTAATTACCATGAATAACAAGCATCAACTTTACATACAAAAGGACATACACTAAGCACATTTAGAATGGTTAGCTGGTAGAAGTGGAGGATGAAAAGGGAAGCAGAGACAAGAGAGAAAAAATGCATTAAGTTAGAAGAGCCTCACACAAAGCAACAATTTTAAAGCACAATGAACAGAGGAGTGTAATAATATAACTCTGAACCTGAGGTCTAAATAACTAAATAAAAAAGTGAAAATACAATAACATTGCAGTAAAAGAGGAATTCAGTCCAACCACAAAGATGTGTTCACTGAGTTTTAAACATAAATAATAAGCATAAAGCAAAAATATAAACAATATCAGAGTGGAAAAAAAGGAATCACAGAAATGTTTACAATAAAAGATTAAGATACCTGAGGTATACTGTGTTTTCCATATTTCCAAAACTTATTCTGTGATAAAAGAGACTTAAATTTCTCCTCCAGAGAATCAAGCTCATTATCAGGTAAGAGGCAAAGCAATTTTTTTAAGGCCAATAAGGAACAAGTTACAACCCGATAGAATTTAGCTTCTCTTTCTTCCTCTGCAACCGTTCTTGATGTGAAAAGAAAATAAATATACATAAGGATTGAAAATAAGCCAAACTGCATATTTGGCACTTCTTTTTTAAATGTTTTATCATTAAATATCTACTGAAGTTGCTTTATTTCTACATTCTACCTCCCTGTGCCAACCCTCCTCCCTTAAAATATGAACATACACAGAATTTTAATCACATATTTTTCAACTAATACAAGGTGAAAGTAGATGAAAAGCTGTGACTTGAAAAAAGTGTGCAAATATATTGCTCTCAGTAGCAAGATGATTCTAGGAATTGGTATCAGTGCATCTAAGATTACTTTCCATTATGAACTTCTCATAGTTTTATTTGTACATAAAAGTAAATGGGACATTTTACTACTCTTTCAACAGAACTATTCATAGTTCTTCACTATTTCAACCAGACCTTAAAATGATTCCTGCTAGGACTATCAAAAGGTAAATGTGGGAAAAACATAAAAATATTTCTTTGTAAAAGAACAAAACACGTAACTCCCAGATAATTCAAATTAAACAGGACAACTTGCAAGTAAAAACACTTAAAACAGCACCTGGCATATAGTATTATATTAAGTATTTTCATCTCTACTTTTACAATCCCTTTTTTAAAAATGTGACCTTGAAATGATTGTCTTATTACCTATGAGTGAAACAAATTCTTAACATGAGTTACACAGATAGAACATAACTTACTGTGGGTCACTGAGTGTATCAGGTGTTTCTTTTATAAGATGATCCTGCAGCACCTATGGGGGGGGGGGAATTCCATAAACCTTGAGATTTTATTGAACTGTCAATGGTGAACAGTTAGAACATAAACCTTATCTGACCTAAAAGTTTTTACCCCTTCCCCCAAAAAGTAGCAAATGAAGCAGCAAAACTAAAAGATTTGAATTTTACCTATTTTTCTTTCCCTATCAATCCCCAAGGTTGACTGCTTTTGGGATAAAAAGGAGAGGATACTTCTTCTGAACATCTCCAATACCTGTCAAGAGGAATTTCCCCTTAAATACTCCTGGTCTCTTGCTCCTCCATTCCTCTTGTACACAGCAGTGAAGTAGAATTCCCGATGAGTAAGTTTGGAAGAGAAATTAGGTTGTTTTCCTCTCCCCTCTTTTTGAGCGCCTCCCAGCTCATAGAGGAGACCACATGTTGTGCTCTGCTTCATCATGGAGAAATGTCTAAGGTTCCGTTCAAAGTGGGTAAATCTGCCTACTTCCAGGATGCAGACTAGGGAACCCACTGTTCTAGGACCCCTTTTATCGGCAATAACAATAGGTAACATTTACTTAGCTTTTCCACATGCTAGGTATTGCTTTGAATACATTTCATCCATTGACTAAATTAATCCTCACAACTACTCAATGAAGTACAATTTCCACTTTAATAGATGAATAGAGGCACAGAAACTTGCCCAAGGTCACATGCAAAACTAATGGCACAGTGGGACTAGAACCCACTGTGTGTATGACCTGGAGCCTATGTTCTTACAGACAGTATAATGTAATAACTATAAATCTGACATTTTGGTCTTCATTTGCCTAACTCCTCTCTACAAAATTGGTTTTGAACTTGGGAAAGTTCAAACTCAGTACCTCTAAGAACTGTGACATAACCAAGTAAAGGGGGAATAATGGAGGAAATAATCCACATATTCAATGATCAGTTACCCATCCATAACAAAGCCAAGAACAAAAAACCAACCAAATGAAAACCTGAATAGTCAAATTAGTTATCTCAAAATCCATTTTCTAAAACTCCTAGTGTTCCAACTCATCACACTTCACTCTCACAACACTTAATACTTGATATGTTAAATAAACCAATGATTCTTGGGTTAGACAACTCCCTTTGAGAATATGATTAAAGCTACAAACCCCATCCCTAGAAAAACAAACTTGGTAAACCTGAAAAATAAAGAATGGAAGAACCAATAACTTAAATGGGGAACTAGAATGCACGTGTGTGTGTAGGAGAGGTATTAGGTGGAAAGATCAGATAGGTAAGCCTATTTATATAGACTTCTGAAGGGCAATTTATCACCATCTATAAAAATTTTAAATGTTCTTATCCTCTGACCCGACATATGGTTACTATAAATTTTACTATCACTCCACAGGTTATGAAGAGATCTATTCAAGAATGTTCACTGAAGCAGTATTTGTTATAATAAAAAACTGAGGGAAAACCCCAAATGTTTATTAATATAAAAGGAGTTAAATAAACTGTTGTACATCCATATCAGAAAGTCAACAAAAAGAATGAAGTAGATCTGTATACATGTACTGATATGGAAATATGGGGAAAATAAACTTAGATTTATTTTTTAGATGTATTCTTTCTTCACATTTTGTAGCCTAAAGCATAAACCCAAATCTTTTAGGTACTACGACTAATATTTATAAATTAAAGATGAAAAACTTAAATAACTTAGAAAGATTCAATCCAAAATGTTACTTATGTTAAAAATCAAAAATGGTCAATTTTGTTAAACGCCACTTACTTACTCAATCTTCACAAGGCCAGGTAAAAGAGCTACCATTATAATATGCCTTATATCCCTTAAATACTTGAGGAAGAAAACGGAGAACAGTTCCAAGAACTTACACTTGCAATTTCATCCTTGCAAAACGCTATGGCTTCGGGTTGCTTGCTTGGGGGGAAAGCTGCTTCAAAGGCATCTTTTGCTGCACATGCAGCTGGTGTGTAAGTATCACACTGAGCCATTAGCCAACAGCCCATTAAACTTTTTAAATAAGGAGCCAAGTGCTTCTTCACTTTAAGGATAAGTTTCTCAAAAGCCTGCTGTGTGGCTTCTCGAACCCGGCGATCATGATCCTAGTAAAAATATAACATGGTTTAAAATAGCTCCAGCCCATAAAAATACAAATACAGACATTTCTGGATATGCTATGATGACCCATTAATAAGAACTCACCTACGGGCAGAGCTAAACTAAAATTATTAAGTTTAAAAATTGTGAGAAATTTGATTCATTTTTCCTTTGCCCCTTCTTGCAATGAGATAAAAACTATTCAAGATAGACTCAAATTCACACTCACTCTTTTGCAGCAAACATGCAAAGAAATTAAACTGTCAAATTTTACTATGACTAGAAAGTATCTAGGTAATTCTCTAGTAATTACCTAATTTCTGAAAACAGACTCCCAATACACTTTATACAACTAACATGATCCAATCTGCATAATACTGACATAACATTTTATAATCCTCACCAAAAATGAGTCATATAAATGTAACAGTCCCCATGACTTCAATCAAAAACTGTGTAACAGGGACGCCTGGGTGGCTCAGTCGGTTAAGCGTCTGCCTTCGGCTCAGGTCATGATCCCAGGGTCCTGGGATCGAGTCCCGCATCGGGCTCCCTGCTCCGTGGGGAGCCTGCTTCTCCCTCTGCCTCTGTCTCTCTCTCTGTCTCTCATGAATAAATAAATAAAAAATCTTTAAAAAACAAAAAACAAAAAACTGTGTAACAGGGCGCCTGGGTGGCTCAGTTGGTTAAGCGACTGCCTTCGGCTCAGGTCATGATCCTGGAGTCCCTGGATCGAGTCCCGCATCGGGCTCCCTGCTCGGCAGGGAGCCTGCTTCTGCCTCTGACCCTCCCCCCTCTCATGTGCTCTCTCTCTCTCATTCTCTCTGTCTCAAATAAATAAATAAAATCTTAAAAAAAAAAAAAAAACAACTGTGTAACAACAACAAAAAACTAGTATAAGTTTTTTAACACTTACAAGTGAAATTTTGCAGAAAATTCTTGGCCAGTATGGAAGGACTCCTTTTACAATTTCTGTGTCTCTCTCTGTACACATTGTTCCAAATTCCTGCATAGCCTAAAAATAAATTAGCAACATTACTAAGGATCAACAGCCACAATATTATCTATTGATTATATTTATTCTGTTCTAGAAGCTTAGTCTATTTTATATAATGGGAGAATACACTGCTTCTATTTATGCCATATGGGACTAATTTGAAGAGTTCCTTCACAACATACTATAATAGAAACTTCTCTTTTTTTTTTTAATAAAATGTATACAAACAAAAACTCCATTTAATACTATAGGGTCAAAATTACATTCTCTAATGGGAAAAACCATACACCCAGAATTCCAAAGTGGTTCAAATAAGTGCAGAACAACAAACTAATTTATAGCCCAGAAAATAAAAGGTAAAAACTAAGCTTAAGTCTATGTGTCAGAAAAAAGTACAATTGTAAAAGAACTTATTAGTGATAAACGATTGCTCATTTTTCTTTACATAAAATATACCAATGACATTTTATTCTAACAAAAGGATTTTCTTGATCATTTTTATGAAAAACATAAAACTTGCTTTTAATTTTGTCGTGACATCTTTCTTAGAAAGTTTCCGCAGCACCATTCGGAAATCAGAATCTACAAGACTGTCAATCTCTTCAGCTCCTTGAATAGCAGGAACATAGCCTAGGTCACTCTGAGATGTTCCAAAACCAATAAATCCAGGCACCGTTCCCTGTTCTTTGGCAAGCAGTTCTGCAGCTCGGCCACTGTTAGAAGGCTGATAAGAAAGTTGAGAGAAAAAAAGTCAGAGTCCAGGAAGTGTTCAAAATTTAACTTTGAGTTCTTGTCCTTGACAATTCTTAGAGAGGAACAAGGTTTTATTTGATAACTGTTTTTTTTTTTAAAGATTTTATTTATTTCAGAGAGTGAGAGCACAAGCAGGAGGAGAGGCAGAGGGAGAGGGAGAAGCAGACTCCCCGCTGAGCAGGGAGCCTGACACAGGACTCAATCCCAGGACCCCGGGATCATGACCCCAGCCAAAGGCAGATGCTTAACTCACTGAGCCACCCAGGCACCCACCCTTATTTGAGAACTTTTTATTTCCTAGCCTAAGATTTCATCTACTGCAATGTTCCCATCACCAAGAACCTATCAATAGTGATCCTAGTGCTATTTCCTGGTCTGCTAAACATCAGAACAATGTTGGTTAAATTGGATACAATCCATTAGTGGCTCATGATTATCAACTTAATGGGTCATGACAGCATTTCAAAAAAATAGAATAAAACTTTAAAACTCAGAACGCATTACATATGGTTAAGAATAAGTACTATTTTATAAAAATTTTAATTTCCAAATTAGTATAAAGAGTATATATACACACATATGTGTACTATGTAATGATATAAAATTAATTCACACATGAATTACAACTTTTCATTCATCCACTCAACCACCACCATGGGACAAGTCTAATGATAGCTCTTTCTAAGATTAGGAGTTCCTTGAGGGCAGACACACTCATTTCTACATACCCAAAGTTACCCTAACTTCTTTGAGCTATAATGGATACAAATTACATTACTATGGACATAAAATCAATACAATGGTCAGGATATAAGATACACTCCTTTGAACCATAGTCGTAGTTTGTTAGATGGATACTCAATATAGTAGCTTCTTAGTGCAAAAAGTTAAGGGGGTTGGTTGTGACAAAAAAAAAATATTTAAACTGTTGAAAGAATAACATATTCATTGTCATCTAATAGAAAAATACCTCTGGGATGCCTGGGTAGCTCAGTCCGTTAGGCCTCCAACTGCTGGTTTTGGCTCAGCTCATGATCTCAGGGTTGTGTGACTGAGCCCTGTGCTGGACTCCATGCTCAGCGCTGAGTCTGCTTGAGATTCTCTCTCTCTCTCCCTCTATCCCTCCCCCTGCTCACGTGCACTCTCTTTATTTAAGATTTTAAGTAAAATCTTAAAAAAAAAAAAAAAGAAAATGCCTCAGTTCAATGTCCAGGATGACATTAGAATCCATTTAAATTCACCTGTTCCTTAAAAAATAAATAAATAAATAAATAAATAAATAAATAAATTCATCTGTTTCTGATTTCTTTCTAAGAATGGTTGAAAGGGCTACCCAAATGTGTGATTTGATTTGCTCATACCTAGCAAAATCGTGTTTGGGAAACTCATTTGTCAGGAAATAATCTGGACTATTTTCTAAACTGAAATGAGTGACCAGAAATGAAAATGATAACCTGAATTACTTTTTTTTTTTTCCAAAACAGTAGCATTTAAGACTGATTTCAGAAAAGGTTCTCTATTTTAGAACTTTCTTAAAATGAACTAACATTATTCAATTCACCTTTCTCAATACTGGTACATGGATAAACAGCTACAATGGAAATTCGTGAATTATAATACAATTCTGAAAACTAAATATGATAATATTAGGACATCAGAATTTTATCTATAACATCACTTACAAACAGTTTTATTATAAAACAGAATAATGAAATCATATAAAAATTAATGCTAAAAGCTAAAGGAGTCAAGGGGTGCCTGGGTGGCTCAGTCGGTCAAGCATCCCGCTCTTGATCTCAGCTCAGGTCTTGATCTCAGGGTCGTGAGTTCAAGCCCCACATTGTGCTCCATGCTGAGCATGGAGTGTAATTTAAAAAAACAAAAGGGGGCTCCTGGGTGGCTCAGTCAGTAAAGCAACTGCCTTCGGCTCAGGTCATGATCCCAGGGGCCTGGATGGAGCCCGGCATCGGGCTCCTTGCTCATCAGGGAGCCTGCTTCTCCCTCTACCTGCTACTCCACCTGCTTGTGGTCTCTCTCTCTCTCTCTCTCTCTCTGTCAAATAAATAAATAAATAAATCTTAAAAAAAAAAAAAAAGCCAAAGAATTCAAGGCTGAATTCTGAACTGACCGGAAATATCCAAGCTGATAGTGATAACTACATACGGAATAAAAGGTATCAGATTTCCAACTTCCAGTTTTAAAGTAACAAATTACTTCAAAAATATACTAATTGTATCTTTTATTCAATGTCTACTTTGAGTTTAAAATATAGTTACTGTTTCTTGTTACTTCCTCTACTGCATGTTAAATGCTTATACCCACAGTTCAAAAATAAGAACCTTGATTCTATTTCTGAAAGTTAATTTTCTTACATTACACCTACTTCATTCTTTTGTACCTGTCTTCTAGAAGTAGTAGAGGTGGCAATCCTGAGTACACAGTTTAAAGGCCAAACTCAGGAAGACTTACAAGGTCTTTCCCCATCTGGCCTTAGCTTTTCCCAGGCTTATCTCCTTACGCTCTTTTCTTCCCTTGTCACAGTTCCTCCTCTCCTCTCCCAATTTTGCTACCACCACTTATGTTCCAGTCCCAAAGTGAAGTCACAGTTCTCTCAATATGCTATGCCTTTCACAATCGGATCTTTGTGTAATCTTTTCTCTCCACCTGAAAACCTTTTCTTCCTTTTCATTGCCTGACAAACTCCTACTCATCCTTCAAAACACACTCTTGTTTTCAATGCTTGCCTCCCTCAGGTCAATTATCATTCTTTTTCTGTTCTCCCATTTTCTTTCTATTCATACCCATATCATAATTCTTTAATATATTATAATCATTTGCTTACTTATATGTTTATCATTAAATTAATAGTTCAAGAACAAGAAACATCTGTCTATGATCTTTGAGTACATGACATTCAGTACTCAAAGTCTGTTGGATGAAAGAATGCCATTCTTTTTTTTTTAAAAATAGGTTGTTGTTGTTTTTTTTAAGATTTTACTTATTTATTTGACAGAGACAGAGATAGCGAGAGTAGGAACACAAGCAGGGGGAGTGGGAGAGGGAGAAGCAGGCTTCCCGCTGAGTAGGGAGCCCAATGTGGGACTCGATCCCGGGACCCTGGGATCATGACCGGAGCCGAAGGCAGACGCTTAACGACTGAGCCACCCAGGCGCCCCTAGAATGCCATTCTTAAGTTCAAATCTCAACTATGCAACTTCCCCTTTCTCTAAGCCTCAGTACCATCATCTTTAAAATGAGAAAATAGTAAGTTATTAAGCCATTACTTGGGTTGTCAAAATTAAATGTAAATTTTTAAACCATTAAAATTGATTCCAGCAAGAATCATCAAAGGATGCTAAAACCATTAGGTGAAAGTTTGTGAGAAAACAGATTATTCCCAGTCTCAAAATACCACTCCCCATATTATTTGTTAATAGCCAACAGAAAAAGATACCTTTACAATGGACATCACCTTAACCAAGTGATTAAATAACACCAATAGTGGGACAAACATGTGCACCCTGATGCACTGATGATGGTACATCATCTATGAAGCATTCCTATCAAAAACTGTTTAACCTGAATCTCACCATAAGGAACAATGAGACAATTCTAAATTAAGCAAAAGAACTGCCCTAGACTTTTCTAAATTGTCCCTGTCATAAAAGAACTGCCCTCAAAAGAAAAAGAAAAGAAAAAACCCCCAAAGGAAAACTACCTAGAGCTAAATGGTTAAATGAATGGAATCACTCCTTGATTGTATCTTAGATGTTTTTAAAAATGCTGTATCTAAAAACAAGTTATAGAGAACATTATTGACACCTATATAGAAATCTGAATACAATGTTATCTATTATTAGACAGTAGTAGTATACTGAAGTTAAATTTTCTGCATGTTGTAATTGTTCATGGTTATGAAGAAGAATGGCATTTGTTTCGAATATACATGTTGAAGTACTCAGGAGTTAAGTGTCATGATATACGCAACTAATTCTCATATGGTTCAGCAAAATACATATATTTAGAGAAAGAAAACAAATGTGACCAAATATTAACAATTGATGAATCTAGGTAAAAAACATATGGCTTGTCAGTCTAATATTTTTGCAACTTATCCTCATGTTTGGAATATTTAAAAAAAAAAAAAACTGTCCAAATAAAAAATTAAAATTAAATGAGAATGCAAGTAAAGTGCTTAACACAGTACCAACACAAGGCAAGTTACCATTATTACAGTTGCTACTATCTGCCAAAAACAGATCAAGTGGCAGATCTAAGAAAATGTACTGGTATCACTAGAATTTGATCAGAAGCAGGAAAAATGCACTCTCATAATATTGGACTGTGCCATAACAAGCCTAATACCATAAAAATGTATCATTATAACATCCCTAATGGTAAGTTTAATCCACTTTTGGGTCTTCTTTAAACAAGTATTTAGGGGCACCTGGGTGGCTTAGTCGTTAAGCATCTGCCTCCCGCTCAGGTCATAATCCCAGGGTCCCGGATGGAGCCCCCAGTGGTGGGCTCCCTGCCCAGTGGTGAGCCTGCTTCTCCCTCTCCCTCTGCTGCTCCCCCTGCTTGTGCCCCCACCCTCTCTCGCAAATAAATAAATAAATAAATAAATAAATAAAATCTTTTAAAAAATATTTAGTGAGCTTCTACTATATACTAGTCCTTGTTCTAGGCTCCTAGGACAACAGCCTTCATAAAAACACCTGCCTTCATAATACACCCCAATGAAGCAAGACAGTAAATGAAGCAAGACAGTAAATTACATAGTATGTGAGAAGTCCTAAGTGCACAGGAGTAAAATAAAGCAGGAAAGGAGCACAGGGAGTGGGAGGCTACAATTTAAAATAGGGCGATCATGACAGACCTCACTGGGGTGTCCCAAGCAAATTTGTAGCCGCCTAAAAGAAGAGCCTTAGGGAGCCTTCCAGGCAAGGTCAAGGCTTGGTGAGGAGATCACTGTGGCTGGATGGAGCGAGCGAGGAGGAAGCTGAAGACGGTGCCAGAGAAAGGAAGGGGCCAGAGGCTGACCACATACCATGTATACCATCGTAAGGCATTTGGCCTTTACCCCGAGGAATCTGGGGAGCCCCAGCAGGTTTTTGAGCAAAAGAGCGACATGATCCGAGATGCCCTGCACACCAGGCTCACTTTAAATGCTTTCTACCCAATTCCCTTGTTCCTCGTGCCACACACCCCCACCCCCGCTAGCCCGGCCAGGTAACCTTCCAGGTGAAACGGATACTGAACCATTCCTTAATGGAAATTGTAGGATGTGTGCTCGGGTGGAGACAGCTCTGGCATGGAACATCTTTTCCCTCACAAATCCCCAATCTGCTCAGAGACAACCCACCCGGTTCGGGGGGACGCACACACAACAGAGAGGTCACACTCGACACGCAAACACACGCCTCCCTACAGCCGCGCTCCACACGCCCTCCGGACGCGCGCGTGGTAGAACCAGCCGCTGCGAGATGAGGACTCCCCGGCCGGCCGAGGCACCTCCACACTCACCCTCAGGTTCCCCTTGGTCCGCTGCTTGTTCTTCCCGCCCATGGTCGCGGTCTCAGCCGCACTCTCAGCCCGCAGCCCCCTAGTTGACACGGCCGGGCCACAACTTCCGGCTCCTCGCGCCGGAAAAGGGCCGACTAGAGCGACTTTCCCGGCCCTCCCCTTCCGCCACCCACCGGCCCTCCCCTTCCGCCACCCACCGGCCCTCCTGCCCCCCACTTCCGCTCCCGCCTCCCGCCGCGTCCTTCACCATCCGCCGCCGGAAACGTCACAACTAGAGCCACGCCTGTCTGAGTGACGTCATCCATGCCCAATAAGAGGCCAAGCATGAGACCCGAGGCTTCAAACCCTGTCTTTTTCCCGCTTTCTGGGAACGGGATTTGTTCCCCTCTTAGCGGGTAGGCAATTGGGATGATCCGTAATAAGGGCATTTTCACATAAAGGTAGCAGAAGAATGACATGGTAGTGGCTGTGAAAACAGGGAAATGGGGGCGCCTGGGTGGCTCAGTCGGTTAAGCGACTGCCTTCGGCTCAGGTCGTGATCCTGGAGTCCCGGGATCGAGTCCCGCATCGGGCTCCCTGCTCGGCAAGGAGTCTGCTTCTCCCTCTGACCCTCCTCCCTCTCATGCTCTCTTTCATTCTCTCTCTCAAATAAATAAAAATCTTAAAAAAAAACAAAACAAAACAGGGAAATGGTTGACCTACAATGCAATCATTCGCATCACCTGGGCGTTTATTAGAAATGCAGAGGGCCCCCTGGGTGGCGCAGTTGGTTAAGCCACCAACTCTTGATTTCAGCTCAGGTCCTGATCTGGGCGTCATGGAATTGAGCCCCGCCTCTGGCTCTGTGCTCAGCGGGAGCGGACTTCATATTCTCTCACTCTCTCCCTCAACCCCTCCTGCTTGTGCTCTCTCTCTCAAATAGATAAATAAATCTTAAAAAAAAAAAAAAAATGCAGACTGTCGGGGCCACCTTAGGACTATTGAATCAAAGCCTGCATTTTAAAAAAAGTAGGCTCCATGCCCAGCGTGGAGCCCAAGGGGGAGGGATCAAGACCTGAGCTGAGATCAAGAGTCAGAAGCTTAACCGACTGAGCCACCCAGGCACCCCAGATTCTGCATTTTTAACAAGATTCCTAGGTGTTGTTAAAATTTGAGAAGTAGTGCTCTAGGCAATATTCTCTAAATCCCCCCTTTTTTGTATCAAAATTGTTAAGTGTGGTTTTTAGAAAAGTCTAGTAAAATTTGAAATGTACAGATCTTGTACTAAGTGATTTTGATTCTCAATGACACTAGAGAAATATAAGCACACATTGCTACTTACTGTCTCTCATGTCCACATACTCACCCCTTTATACTCAACTCCATGATACTGAGACTCTGCAAACTCTTTCTCCTTTATTCAACTGGCTTCCTGTTAGGTTCCATCCACAGTGGGGACTAGAAGGAGGGTGAGACAAGAAGGAGAAGTGACTTGCTCCATTCCCTTAGCATCATCCCAGCAGTGGTGCTTTGCCCTGGCAGCATCAATTCGTTTAAGTGGCAGTCGGTTTCACTCTGCATCTTTTTTTCAATCATTAGTCACCCTTATTGTGCACCTCAGGGGTACCAGTAACTGAGCAGCCAGGCAGGAACATCCCCCTCAGAGGGCTGATTCCTAGCTCCATGAGACACTTCGTCTGAGCTCTAGACTTCTCTGAATATAGCTTATACTATAGACTGGAATTCAGAATCAAGTAAATATTTCACATGACTTTAGCAATAAAAATAAATTCTCTCCCTAAAACTCTCCCTAAAAAAGAAAAGCAAAACTTGTACATCAGTAAAGTTGATGGCTTTGTAACACAAAGAGGAATTATTTCAGTGAACTCTAGGGCACATTCAGACTGTATATCTGTGTGGAATATATCTTACAAACGAACTGCAAAAAATTCTTAAGCTATTTTCAATAATATAATACCATAATAATATCAGTACTATTATTCTGAAATCAAATCAAATATGTAATTATTATAAAGGTCACAGAATTTTGGGGGGGTGATGAAAATATTCTGTATCTTGATTGAGGTAATGGTTACAACTATAAGCATTTGTCAAAACTCATAGAAGTCTGAAACTCATGAAAAAAGATGAGTTTTTACCTAAATTCATATTTGATTTAAAAAGCAAATATGTAATTATGTTAATGCCATTAGGAACTAAGAAAAGAGATATAAAATCAAAAAGGTTTAAGATAGGGGTGCCTGGCATGACACTCTTGATCTTAGAGTTGTGAGCTCAAGCCCCATGTTAGGTGTAGAGCTTACTTTAAAAAATAAAGGTTTAAAATAAAATAAATTTGAAATAAAAAAAATAGTATGAACTCCTATGTGCATGTGTATACATGGTTTTTTTTGTGTTTTTTTTTTAAGATTTTATTTATTTATTTGAGACAGAGAGAATGAGAGAGAGAGAGCACATGAGAGGGGTGAGGGTCAGAGGGAGAAGCAGGCTCCCTGCTGAGCAGGGAGCCCGATGCGGGACTCGATCCCGGGACTCCAGGATCATAACCTGAGCCGAAAGCAGTCGCTTAACCAACTGAGCCACCCAGGCGCCCTGTATACATGTTTTTTAATAGTATTTTCCATCTTTGTCTCCTGAAAAGGTCTAGAAACAATGGCAAACCTTGTAGCAAGGGGTGCTTTTAAAGAACAGTGACAATCAACAAAATCTAGAATTTGGGAAAGTCTACAAGACAAGCAATCAGTTTTATAAATATGCTGAAGGATGAGCAGGAGGAGAGGGAAGAGAAGGAAGAGAAAGGGGACCGATTGAAAGAGACTAAAGAGACATATCAACCAAATGCAAGTCTGGCTCTTGTTTTTATCATAATTCAAACAAACTGTTAAAAAAAATTCTGAGATATATTGGATATTTGGTGACATTAAAGAATGGTTGTTAATAATTTTGGGGGTGTGACAAAGGTATTTTGGCTATGTTAAAAAAAGAGTCTGTCTTTTAAAGATACACATTGAAGCTTGTACACAAAAAGATAACAATGTCTGAGATTTGGTTCAAAAAATCCAGTGGAGTAAGGGGTAGGGGCAGAAATGTGAATGTACCTATAAAATACTCTCTACACTACTCTGATACCATACTTTCAGACTGTTCCTCCTAATTTTCTTTTCTTTGGTTTTCTTTGGTGACTCATTTGCTTCTATGGAGTTTTCAAATATTGAATATTGGAGTCCATTATTCGGCAGGATTCGGTTCAGGCCATTTGCTCTCTTCATCCATAGTTTCTGCCTATGCAATTTCATCCATATTCACAGCTTTTTGCCTAAATTTATATGCAGTCCAGACCTTTTTACAATAAAGACCTATGTAGACAATTTCTATTAGAAAGCTTAATGTGAGGGGCGCCTGGGTGGCTCAGATGGTTAGGCGTCTGCCTTCGGCTCAGGTCATGATTCCAGGGTCCTGGGATCAGGCCCCACATCGGGCTTTCTGCTCAGCAGGGAGCCTGCTTCTCCCTCTCCCTCTGTCTCCCCCCTGCTCATGCTCTCTCTCTCCGTATCTCTGTGTCTCAAATGAATAAATAAAAAATCTTAAAAAAAAAAAAAGAAAGCTTAATTTGAATGTATTTTGGGCACTCAAATTCAAATTCATCAAAATGGAATTATTTTACCCCCAAACTTGGTTGTCCTATATTGTGTATCTTGGTAAAATGCACCACAATAAATTCACCTCCACAAGCCACACTTGTGAGAATAAACCTTCCTATCACTGTCTCCCTTGTACCTCTATTCAATAAATTCTCAAATCCTAACAACTTAACCTCCTAAATATCTTCCAAATGTATCCACATTTCTTTTTTATTTTTTTATTTTTATTTTTATTTTTTTTTAAAGATTTTATTTATTTATTTGAGACAGAGAGAATGAGAGACAGAGAGCATGAGAGGGAGGAGGGTCAGAGGGAGAAGCAGACTCCCTGCCGAGCAGGGAGCCCAATGCGGGACTCGATTCCGGGACTCCAGGATCATGACCTGAGCTGAAGGCAGTCGCTTAACCAACTGAGCCACCCAGGCACCCCACATTTCTTTTTTAAAAAAAAGATTTATTTATTCATTTCTGAGAGAGAGAGAGAGTAAGGGAAGGACGGAGGGAGAGAATCCTCAAGCAGACTCCCCACTGAGCACAGAACCCGATGCCCAGAGATCATGAGATCCATGAGATCACGACCCATGAGATCATGACCTGAGTAGAAACCAAGAGTGGGACACCCAATCAACTGAGCCACCCAGGCACCACCAAATGTATCCAAATTTCAATCTCCATCTCCATCTCCACTGGCTAAGCCAAGAATCATTCCTTGGCAATAGCCTCCTCATTGATTTGCAAATACACATTCCACCTTCAATCTAGGATACATGCTGCAGCCAGAGGAGTATTTAATTTAAAAATGGCCTATAAAGTCATATATTACATGGCCCTAGTCCACCCCTCCAAGCTGTCATGCCATTCTGTTCATTACTTGCCAAACATGAGCTACTTTTTAAAAAAAGATTTATTTTTATTTATTTATTTATTTATTTATTTATTTATTTATTTATTTATTTATTTATTTATTTATTTATTTGAAAGAGAGACAGAGAGCACAAGCAGGGGCAACAGCAGAGGGAGAGGGAGAAGTAGGTTCCCCACTGAGCAGGGAGCCTGATGCAGGGCTCAATGGGGGGCTCGATCCCAGGACCCCGGGATCATGACCTGAGCTGAATGCAGATGCTTAACCACTGACTGAGCCACCCAGGCACCCCAAATGTGTCACAGGCTCTCCAGCTTCAGGATCTTCACTAAGGCTATTCTTTTGGGGTGAAAATTTCTTTGCCACTCCCTCTCTCCAAACACCCTGCTCTTCCCAAGTTCAGCTGGGTCAGATTCTGCTGTATGCATTCTCATGGATTGTTCTACTTACAAAAATTGAAAATAAATAGCAGTCTCAATGGTTGTCAAATGTCTTTCTCTCCAGCCAGAATCAAAATTTGATGAGGACTGGGTCCAGTTTTATCCATTCCAGAGTGGGTAAACAGTTATTGAATAAATAATAAGTATTAGCAATAAATTTAGGGGAAAAAACAGCATTCAATTACCAGCATTCTTGATCGTTG